AAAAAGGTCTAGGCCCGAAACGTCAGCTTTCCTGCTCCTCTGATGCTGCTTGGCCTGCTGTGTTCATCCAGCTCTACACCTTGTTATCTATGAAAGATCAAGAGAACTGGTGACGGGACACACTTTCTGCTCCCTGTGACCTCGAATCGCTACACTATCTCCCATTTTGATACACTTTCCCTCTTTCGATTTTAAAACTCCTTGCTCACCTCAGTCTCCGTTGGCAAGCTTGAAACTCCAACACAACAAACTTGACATCACCTAATCATTGATTCCTGATTTACCTTATCCCTTATAGGTTTTGTTTTAACCCAGTGAATTCTTGACAATCCCTAGCACTCTTGAGCCTTGAACTCCAGGTTAACTGTCAAATGGTGTGGTGGTGCAATAATACAAATCACTGCCTCACTTACAAAATGCCTCACTTACTGGACATGGAGAGCTATTCAAAGTCAACAGTATCATGTAATATATCCTGTCTTATATTCTGCTCCTTGACTTCAGTAGGAGAGGTTGTCAGGTGCATTCAATTTATCAGATGGCAGAAGTGATTCTGCTTGTCTTCTGTTCCCAAACTTGTCTACTTCACTACCATTTTTTGTCCATACGAGCAAATAAACTGAGGCCTAAATCAGCAAATCAACTGTGCAAACTGACTGCAGTATTTAGTCCCCATGTTTAGTGTTTTGGTGGGGAGAGAGGACAGGTCCCATCTGTTGTTCTATATGGGGTGGACTCTTCATCTAATAGGTCATTCAGGTATAACAGCACAGGAGGCCATTGAGTCCACACTGGCAAGCTGTACAGCAATCCTATTGGTCTCATTCACCCTCACTTTATCACCTTACCCCTCTAACTTTATTTCCGTCAGTACTTATTTCCTTTTGTAATTATTCATTGTCTGCACTTGCTGCAGTTCTATAGGCAGAGAGTTCCATGTCATTACTACATACTGTGTTTAAAATTGAAAGCGCTTCCTCACATCCCTTTGCATCTCTTTGCAAAACCTTAAATCTGTATTTCCCAGTCCTTGTAACTGCAGCTAATGGAAACAGATTTTAATAGCATCATCGACGACCAAACCTATCTGGTCGCTGTTGTGTTTTGTGTTTAGTAGATGAAGGTCAAAGCACGAACCACCAAAATGAATTGGTTAATACAGAAAATGCACAAGCCTTTTATGAAACACAAAAAATATATAAGCCTTTTCTGAAGGATTTGAAAGTTGGTAGCAGTATTATGCAATCGGAGAATTCGTACACATGTCTGAGTTGGTAGCTCCCATGTGACCCATTGTATCATTTCTTCCCCCAGTGTTGTATTTGAAAAACATAATTATAACCACTTAAGGGTATACCTCAGCACTCTCCAGAAAGAAAACCAGGGAATACATTTGTGATATGTTTAAGTTGCAGCATGGCTAGGGCCAGTCATTGGTTCTTCTTCACAGTAGAAGTGGTTGAAAGAAAGGGAATTCAAAATGTGAATATCCCAGCGAAACTGTTGTTGTTGGTGTATAGCAGGGACATTGCCTAAAGTTCTTACAACCAGAAAATTCACATTTTTGTTTATGTAATTTCTGTTTTGCTTTTCCACAGTCCACAACACTATACACAACATTTGATGAGGTAAGTTTGACATCTCTGATGATTAGAAAATGAAGCTTTAGCTGCTTCAGGGTCATCAGTGTGAGAATCTTCTATCGATAAATTATGTCCTCTTTTCCTGATCCATGCCTTAAAAATGCTGGAAATTATGCAGGCAATTTTATTAGCCTTATAGTATTTTGGCATTCAAGCAACATGATTTCTTGGACTTCACTATGAAAGGAACTGGCAGCTTTTTGTGCCATCCATGTTGGCACACACCGTGGAAATGACACGTTCCTTGCTTCACTTTCCATGATCTCTCATTTAATTTTTAAATGTAAAGGACAAACTTGTAACAAAAAAATGGTATGAACAATTCAATTCCGTCCACATTAAAAGTTTCTCTTGTTGCATACTTGTTCTGAACATGAATGAGACCATTTTGCAGCCAGTTTTGCAGGCTTCCTCAAGATATGAGTTTCTAGAGTGGCTTAACTCCACACCACATGGTTGGTGCCGCCATATGACAAGCACATACGAGTTCGGCTATTCCAGTTACCAGTCTGGAACTTCAGCTTAACATGAGCATCCTTCTATTGGATTTCCTAATCTGCCATCAGAATAGCTGACAGCTTCACCACAACCAGTCTTTCAGGTTATATGAATTTGACTCAATATGATTTCACTGTTTATGTAAAAAGTCGGTTTGCAGTTGCATTTGTACAAAATTCGAGGATCCCCAATATCATATTTCTCCAATATTGCAGTGTTATGAGGATAGCATATGAATATGGCAATTGTGTATGACCCTGTATGCAAATTCAAATTATCACAGGCCATCTGGTTTCATGTGAAAGCATCAGATAATATCAACGCATTTAGTATTTATTCTTTGTTATGAAATCACAAGTTACAGCAAATTTCTTTTCCTGACAGATGCTGGCAAAATATCTAGACAACGGTGTTATAAACCACCTTCCTTCAGCTTTGGGAGATCCTATAATGGTATGTCCTTTTCTCATGGCAGTAACATGCATAATAAGAATTCTAAAACTGGCTATTCATTGGTTGTACTTACTCAGGAAATAAACAGATCAGAGCATGAAGTGTAGGAATTTCCTGTAAATTTCATCCCTTAAGCCTTTTGTAATAGAACATAGAGCAAATAACCCAAGCTGCCTTTTGTGATGTTGTTCAGGGACTGCCAGCCATGGTAAAAGGGGATAAAAAACATATGATCTTTCAAGCTAGATCTCACTCTGGGATCTGATCTGTCCAGTATTACCGTCAACTGGGATCATAATCTCTTTTCTCAGGATTTATTTAAGTTCCTCATCCCTGGAACCATTCTTGTAAATCATGCCTGTACCCTTTCTAAAGAACGGAATTCGGCATTGGCAAAATGTTCCAAAATGAGTCCGAATCTGTGGCTTTCTTAAAATTTGTCATAAATTACATGCTTTTGTACTTTATGCCCTTATTTGTGAAGCCCTGGGTCCTTTGAAAGCATTTTAATCACTTTCTCACTCTTCCCTGCCACCTTCAATGATTTGTGCATGTTATATATTTGTATTAGCCCCACACCTTTGTCTCTACACCGTAATATTTCAAGCAGGAATTAGCAGCAATGGTTTCCTTCTGATTGCCTTCAGCAAGTTGTAAATTGCTGTAATGGCCTTGATCAGATCAGTCTGCCACAGCCTTGAAAGGACCAGACCAGCTAAATATTGTAAATGAGTCTGTCATTCTTGATTTACTGGTGAGCAACCCCAGAGAGATCTGTTAGCAGGATAAAACAATCTTGTCTGCATCTCCTGGGAGATTACATGGCTGCATGGACAGGGTTATGGAAAATCTTATCGTAATGCTCAAGCCATCAGGAGTGACCATTAATACCCATTCTGGTCATAGGCAGCAACCTGTTGCAACATATTCAAACAAAAAGCTGCTAGCATAGGTGTAACAAATACAACTTAATTTAAAAAAAAGTGAAACCTGGAATATAGCTAAATTATGAGACAGGTACCCCCTAGATTCAATTGGAAATAAGGGGTCTCCCATTTAAAATGAAAATGAGGAGAAATGTTTTCTTTCAGAGGATTGTTATTCTGTGGAATTCTACCCCCCCGCACCCCCAAGACAGCAGTGGAGGTTGATTCTTTGAATATTTTAAGGCAGAGTTGTTGTTTGACAAGGGTACCAAAAAGTATAGCAACTACACAAGAAAGTAGAGGCTACATTCAGATCAGCCATAATTTTGCCAAATGGTGGAGGAGGCTTGAGGGACTGAATGGCCTACTCTTGCCCCCAATCCATACATAAACATGCATGTAGGGTATTGTAGTGCAATGGTGATGTGTGTGATCCTGTGAGATATTGAGCTCAAAATCCATCAAATAATCTGATAATTTTGTTGAATTTAATTGGGGAAAAATGATTTTGGAAACTGCCAAATATTAATCATTGATAGAAGATATCTGTTTTTGTTTTGTTTATTGTTCCGTATGACATAGGAGTTCAGTAGGGCATTCAGCCCATTGAGTCTGCTCTGCTATTCGATGTGGTCATGGCTGACCTGATCATCCTCAACTCCACCCTCCTGCCTTTTTCCCATAACCCTTGTTTTGCCCACAAGTCTGTTTATCTCAGCATCATGAGGGGAATCGAATACAAAAGTAGGGAGGTTGTGCTTCAATTATTCAGGGCATTGTGAGACCACATTTGGCGTACTTCGTAAAGAATTGGTCTCCTTACTTAAAAAAGGGTTTAACTGCATTAGAAGCAGTTCAGAGAAGGTTTCCTAGTGGGAATGGATTGGTTGTCTTCTGAACAGTCTGGGCTGATGGGCTTCCAACAACCACAGTCATCATCCTTTGTATGAGGTATGACTCCAGCCTGCAGAATGTTCTCTCCTTGATGCTCTTTGACTTCAGTTTTGTTGGGGCTCTTTGGTACAATCCTTAATTTCGAGGGCAGTCAATCTCCCTTTTGGAGTTCAACTCTTTTGTCCACGTTTGGACCAAAACTGACAAGGTTTACTGGTCTAATACCTGGTTTGGCAGGTTATCGTATGAGGAAATGTTGTGGAGGTGCCGGTGTTGCACTGGGGTGGACAAGGTCAGAAGTCGCATGACACCAGGTTATAGTCCAACAGATTTATTTGAAATCACAAGCTTTCGGAGCACTATCCCTTCATCAGGTGAAGCTTAAGGGCAGTGCTTTTGAAAGCTTGTGATTTCCATATATCTGTTGGACTATAAGTTGGTGTCATGTGACTTCTGACCTTGGAAATGTTGGACAGGCTAGGCTGGTACCTACTGGAAAATTAGAAGTGTAAGAAGCAAACTGATTGAAACATGTAATATCCTGAGGGTTTTGACTGGATGTTTCCTCTTGTGGGAGAATCTAGAACTATGGAATCCTTGTTTAAAAATAAGGACCAGCCCTTTGAGAGATGAGAATTATCTTTCTCCTAGAGGGTCGGTAGTCTTTGGAACCCTCTTCCTCAAAAGGTGGGTGGAAGCAGAGCGTTTAAAAAATTTTTAAGGCAGGGGTACTCTTGATAAACAAGGCAAGGGGTTAATGGTTGTCAGGATAGGTCGGGGTGTGGAATATTCAGTTCTTATTGCATGATGGAGCATGTTTGAAGGGCTGAGTGGCATGATCCTGCTCTTATTTTGTACGTTCGTATAATTTCCTTCAGGCTTGCTTTATATGACTATGGTTCATTACTTATACACCTGTGAAGAAGTTGAGCGATCCTTAGATTAAGAAGCATTCAAAGAGCCAGGCATGGACAATAAACATGGTCATGCCATTTAGTTCATAACCTGTAAGCAAATAAAAATAAAGGTAAAAAGCAGCTTATTTCACATCATATTAATGTATAATGTTGGTAAAGGTAAGGTCGCCATAGAATTACCAGAGCATTAGGCTGCTTGTTATTAGAGACCTTAAGAAATAGGAGCAGAAAAGCCATTAGACTCATTGGGTTGGTTCCACCATTTGATAATGGCTGAAATGTTTCTCAATCCCATTCTCCTACCTTCTCCTCGTAATCCTTGATCTCCTTACTAATCAAGAATCTATCTATCTCTGTCTTAATTGGGGTGGCACAGTGGCTTAGTGGTTAGCACTGCTGCCTCTCAGCACCAGGGACCCGGGTTTGATTCCACCCTTGGGTGACTGTCTGTGTGGAGTTTGCACATTCTCCCTGTGTTCGCATGGGTTTCCTCTGGGTGCTCTGGTTTCCTCCCATTGTTCAAAGATGTGCAGGTTAGGTCAATTAGCTGTAGGAAATGCAGGGTTATAGGGAAGGGGTGGGTCTGTGTGGGATGCTTTTTGGAGGGTCGGTGTGGCCTCAATGGACCGAATGGCCTGCTTCCACACTAGGGATTCTATAGTTCTATAAATACAGTCAATGACTAGGTCTCCACAGTCCTCTGTGCCAATGAGTTTCACAGATTAACCATTCTCTCGGTTCTGAAGGGTCATCCTTCACTCTGAGGCTGTGCCCTTGGGTCCTTGTCTCTCCCACTGGTGGAAATATCATCTCCGCATCCACTTTATCCAGGCTTCTCCGTATTCTGTCAGTTTCGATAAGATTCCCTCCATATCCTTCTGAATGTCATTGAATACAGACCCAGAGTTCTCAACCACTCCTTATGTAACAAGTTCTCCAATCTGGGGATCATACTTGTGACCTTCCTCTAGAACCCCTCTAGGGCCAGCACATCCTCCCTTAGATAAGGGCCCAAAACTGTTCTCAATATTCCAAATGCAGTCTGAACAGAGCTCAGTACATCCCTGCTCGTATATTCTGGCCCTCTTGAAATGAATGCTGACATTGCATTAGTCTTCTTAAGTGTCAACTGAAACTGCATGTTAACCTGAAGAGAATAATTAACTAGGACTCGCACATCCCGTTGTCCTTCAGGTTTTTCAAGCCTTTCTCCATTTCAAAAGTAGCCTGTGCCCCTTCTTTCTACCAAAATGCATAACCCCACACTTTCTAAAAGTGTATGCCATCTACTGCTTCTTTGCTCACTCTCCTAGCCTATCCAACTCCTTCTACAACATCCTGCTTCCTCAACACTGAACTACCTGTACATTCATCTATCTTTGTGTCACCTGCAGACTTAGCGACAATGCCGTTATTTCCTTCATCCACATCATTATTGCCTCGTGTGAATGTGGTGGTCCCAACACTGAACCCTGTGAAACTCCACTAGTTGGCTGCTATCTGAAGAAGACCACGTTATCCCTACTCTCTGCCTTCTGCCATTCAGCCAGTTCTGTGTTTGCCAATACTTGCCCCAATACCTCAGAGTCATAGAGATATACAGCACCGAAACAGACCCTTTGGTCCAACTTGCCCATACCGACCAGATATCCTAAATAAATCTCGTCCTGTTTTCCCGCATTTGGCCCATATCCCTCTTAAACCCTTCCTATTCAGCAGAAGTATGTTCCAGTGATAAGGAAGAACTGTAGGAAAGGAGAGAGCCAGCCATGGATGTCTAAGGAAATAAAGGAAAGTATCAGATTGAAAAAAAACACATACAAAAAAGCAAAGAGGAGTGGGAAACTAGTAGATTGGGAAATCTTTAAAGGCCAACAGAAAGCCACAAAAAAAGTTATAAAGAAAAGTAAGATAGATTATGAGTGTAAAATAGCTCAGAATATAAAAACAGGCAGCAAAAGTTTCTATAAATATGTAAATTGTAAAAGAGTGGCGAAGGTAAACATTGGTCCCTTAGAGGATGAGAAGGCCAATTTAAAAACTGGGAATGAGGAAATAGCGGAGACATTAAACAGTTATTTCATGTCGGTCTTCACAGTGGAAGACACAAATAACATGCCGAAAACTAATGGCAAGAAGGTTATAGCAGGTGAGGACCTAGAAAGTATCATTATCACTAAGGAGGCAGTGCTGGGCAAGCTAATGGGGCTAAAGGTAGACAAGTCTCCTGGCCCTAATGAAATGGATCCCAGGGTACTAAAAG